TGACGCGCATGTGCGCGGCGTTATGGCGGAAATGATATTTTGAAAGTGACCCGTCCCCCATCCGTGAAACTGTTGCACTCTCGAATGGAGGAAGTATCCGGCAAAATGCGCGGCCCGCACTTCCGAGTGGCGTCGGGTTGCGACAGGGAAGAGTTGCTCGCTACACCAGAGGAAGCCCCAATCAGTGGATGGGTTGATATAACTACATGTGTACACAGTTGTTTATTTATCATTTAATTGTGTAAGTGTTGTGCGCACATAATCATACACACGTGTATCAATGTACATGTCCACTCCGTATCCATCCCTCTCCGTCTCTGTGGGTGCATGTATGTATGGATGCATGCATGTATGTATGTATGTATGTATGTATATGTGATTGCAGCGATTCCTCGACGCGCGTGGGCTCTGGTGTCAAGCTCTCATTCTCCGGTCGCCTCCGCGCGCCCGTCTCCCCCTCGCCTCCCGGGGACGCCTCGGCCTTTCGCGCCTGGGCCGCGCTCCCGCTGCAGCGCCGGCAGCAGTCGCGGTGGGCTTGGCTGGCGGCGCGCCTGTGGAGGGTTTGCCTGGGGAGGGCCCGCGCGGCGGGGCCGCGGAGGACGCCGCCCAGGACGCCGCCGAGGCCGCCGCCGACCCCGCCGGGGAGGCCGCCGCCGGGCTCGCCGGGCGCGCGGGCGACGACGTCCAGCCACGGCCGGTCACGGCGGGTGGCGGTTGCTCGCCGAGACGGCCCCCCATGGAGGTGAGCAGGGTTTCATCCCCTGGTCAGGTGACGGCCCGGATCCGCCCGGGTACGGCCAGCCCCCCTGGGTGGCAGCCGTCCCCTTGGGCCCCTGGTGTTGCTGCTGATGCTGGGCCGCGCTGCGGCGCCGCGCCCGCCGACGGCCCGCCCCGCGGGGGTGGATCTGGCGGCGACTCGCGGCCTGACGCCCGTGGTCCAGGCGCGCCGCGCGGCCCTCGTCTCGCAGCTCCAGCACTGGCTGGCTGGCTGCGGCGGCCCAGCCTGGGACCTGTTCATCCTTATGGGCCCGGCGACTGTGGGCCGCTACCTGGCCCAGTGCGGCCAGTTCATGGATGACACGATGAGGTGTCGCCACGACTTCGACGAGACGATCAACGCTGGGGTGGACGCCCTTCGAGCCCTCCGACACCGGCGCGACGCGGCATGGGACATTTCCTTCAAGTGGAAACACCTCATGCCGGGTTCGAACCACCAGGCTATGCCAGAGGCGCTGCTGCTCGCGTCCCTGAGCCTGGCGCTGGCCTGGGGTTGGACCGACGTGGCCGGCCGCCTGCTCCTGGGCTTCTTCGGCATGATGCGGCCGTTCCAGTTCCTGAGGCTGAGGTTCGGGGACCTTGTGCTCCCCTCTCGCTCCCTGGAGCGACTGCAAGCGATGTAGTGCACGCCGGCGCGCCAAAAATGAGACGTCTTGGCGCTTGCCGCGAGCGCATCAGGTTTGACGTTCCACAGGTTGTGCATCTCTTCGTGGCCCTTTCACTTCGGTCCTCCCCTCGCCTCCCTCTCTTGCATGGTGGTGCCCGAGCTCGTTTGCTAGAGATTTATATCCAGGAGGTAGGTGCTTGCAGGCTTCTTGCAGACCTCTCAGGTCCCCTCTGTAGTAAGATTTGAGGCCGCCTGGCAGCTTCTGGCTTCGAGTCGCTTGCCGAGACCGAGCGACGGCGGCCCCTGCCCTTCCGGTCCCCGTCCTCGAGAGCCGTCGCCGCTGCGAACAGAGCTCTTCGGTGCCCTTCGCTCCTCCCGCCCCCGCCCCGTCCTCCACCATGAGCGGGTGTGGCTAGAGGAGGCCGGCCCCTTTTTGCCACCGTCCTCGTGTTCAGAAGTTTGCAGAGGCAGTGGTGAGCCCGGAAAAGTTCATCGGCCTTGGGAGTAGAGGAGCTTTTTCAGCAGAGGAAGGGCATCGCTGATTGCAGCGATTCCTCGACGCGCGTGTGCTCTGGCTTCAAGCTCTCCCGTGCCCGCCCACCCCTTGGTTAGAGGAGGCGGGCCCCTTTTTGCGGCCGTCCTTGCGCTCAGAAGTTTGCAGAGACAGCGGCGAGCCTGGAAAAGTTCATCAGCCTTGAGAGTAGAGGAGTTTTTTTCAGCAGAGGAAGGGCATCGCTATATATGTATATGTATATGTGTATGTATGTTTGTATGTTATATGTGTATGTATGCATGTATGTATGTATGTATGCATGCATGCATGTATGTATATATATATATATATAGATATGGTGGATTCTGGCACCAGGAACTGGGGACCTGGGAACCCAGCCGCCCACCGAGACCAATCCGGAACCCAGGAACGGGAACCTAGAACCCAGAACCGGGAACCCAGGAACCCGGCCGTCTACCGAAATCGGTGGCGAAATTTCGCCAAGACCAATGTGGAACCCCGAAACGGGAATCCGGAATCCAGAAGCGGGGACCCGGGAACCTGGCCGCCTATCGAAATCGGCGGCGTTTTCGCAAACATTTTCAGTAGTGATATCGATGTTGGGATGGTTCGTGAGTTCGATGTTGACATGATTATCGAGATCGGTTGTGAGATCGGTAGTGAGATCGAGCGTGGGATCGGTCGTGAGGACGATAATACATTCGATCGTGGGACGATCGTGAAGTCGATTGGGTGAGATCGTCAGTCGTGATATTGCTCTTGCGATCTATAGTGAGATCGACTGTGAGATCGATCGTGAGATCGCTTGCGAGATCGATAGTGAGATCGATCGTGGGATCAATTGAGAGGTCGGTACTGAGATCGATGCTTGAGCCCGAGCGATAAAAAGATCGATCAGGAACCTAGAAATCCAGGATCCCCGCCGCCCACCGAAGTCGGTTCCGAACCAGCAACCGGGAACCGGGGAACCCGGACGGGAATTCGGGAACCTGCCCGCCCACCGAAATCGACCAGGAAATCGCGCCAAAGATGTCAACCTCCGCTGCGACCCCTTCAGTGCAAGCCTGGATTGGGGAATATGGAAAATAATGGAGGATGAGCAAGGGGGGGAGCAACACGAGGAACCGGAGGAGGAAAAGGTGAAGGCCTCCCGCGTCCTCCCTTTCCCAATCCTCCAGCAGTGAAGAGCAGCAGACGCCTTCCCGCCAAGGTGGAGCCCCACAGCCTGAAGCAGACGGTGCAGGGTGAGGGTGCTTCGATGACGGCAGAGTGCAAGACGCCTTTGCTCGACCTCGACGAGACACAGGCGCCCCTCATCCTCCTTTATCCTCCCTCCCTCCACTCCTCTCTTTAGTCTTTTTCCTTCCTCCCTCCTTCTTCCATCCTCCTGCTCCTCCCTCCTCTTGTCCTCCGCCTCCCGTCACCCTTTTCCGAATCCACATCGTCCTTGTCGTCGCCGTCCTCTTCCTCGTCCCTTGCAGGGGTGACGTACTCTTCGGTTGCAAACTTGTCCTGGAGCATGTGCGTGATTTTCATCAGGTTTGCTCATTCGGTTGTTCGTTCTCATCCCCCCTCCCCATCGTCCTTTTTCCCCCTTTCCTTTTCTCCTCATTCCATTCCTGCTTCGCTTCCTGCTCGGTCTCCCCCTTCCCGCCCCTCCGCCTCTTTCTCCTCTTTCTCCTCCCCATGTTCCTCCTCCCCATCCGCCCCTTCCTTCTCTTCCTCGCCTTCCTGCTATTTCTCCTGCTTTTCCTCCTCTTCCGTGCCGCTCCTTTGATCTACCTTATTGCACCTCCTCCCCTCCTCCTCGCCGTACCCGCCCCTCCTTCCCTTCTCTCGTTTCCCCATTCCTTCCTGCTTCTTCTTCTCCTGGAGGACGGGGGATTGTGGAGTCACATGGGGTTTCACATGGGTGTTCGTAGCCTTTTCCTTCTTCTTGGGTCTGACCCTATACATATATATATATATATATAGATATATATATATATATATATATAAGTATGCCTCTCTCTATCTGTCTCTCACTGTTTTTTCCCAACCATCCTGGTGTTGGGTCCTCGTTTTGAAGAACGGTCCCCGCGCGCTCCTCTCCTCCTCTCCCTCTCCTCTCCTCCTCTCCTCTCCTCTCCTCTCCTTCCTCTCCTCTCCTCTCCTCTCCTCTCCTCTCCTCCTCTGCCCCTCCTCCTTGCTGCCGCCCGCATGCGTCACCCACACCCAATTCGGCACACCCCTCACACGTTTCGTAGCCCCATAGGAGCTCCGCCGAAGGCCCCAGTGCTGCCGCCCGCGTGCGTCACCCACACCCAATTCGGCACACCCCTCACACGTTTCGTGGCCCCATAGGAGCTCCGCCGAAGGCCCCAGTGCTGCCGCCCGCATGCGTCACCCACACCCAATTCGGCACACCCCTCACACGTTTCGTGGCCCCATAGGAGCTCCGCCGAAGGCCCCAGTGCTGCCGCCCGCATGCGTCACCCACACCCAATTCGGCACACCCCTCACACGTTTCGTGGCCCCATAGGAGCTCCGCCGAAGGCCCCAGTGGCCGCCCGCATGCGTCACCCACACCCAATTCGGCACACCCCTCACACGTTTCGTGGCCCCATCAGCAGGGAGCCGAAGGCCCCAGTGCTGCCGCCCGCATGCGTCACCCACACCCAATTCGGCACACCCTCACACGTTTCGTGGCTCCGAAGGCCCCAGTGCTGCCGCCCGCATGCGTCACCCACACCCAATTCGGCACACCCCTCACACGTTTCGTGGCCCCATAGGGAGCTCCGCCGAAGGCCCCAGTGCTGCCGCCCGCATGCGTCACCCACACCCAATTCGGCACACCCCTCACACGTTTCGTGGCCCCATAGGAGCTCCGCCGAAGGCCCCAGTGCTGCCGCCCGCATGCGTCACCCACACCCAATTCGGCACATCCCTCACACGTTTCGTGGCCCCATAGGGAGCTCCGCCGAAGGCCCCAGTGCTGCCGCCCGCATGCGTCACGCACACTTAACTCGGCACACCCCTCACACGTTTCGTGGCCCCATAGGAGCTCCGCCGAAGGCCCCAGTGCTGCCGCCCACATGTTTCACCCACACCCAATTCGGCACACCTCTCACACGTTTCGTGGCCCCGTAGGGAGCTCCGCCGAAGGCCCCAGTGCTGCCGCCCGCGTGCGTCACGCACACCCAATTCGGCACACCCCTCACACGTTTCGTGGCTCCATAGGGAGCTCCGCCGAAGGCCCCAGTGCTGCCGCCCGCGTGCGTCACCCACACCCAATTCGGCACACCCCTCACACGTTTCGTGGCCCCAAAGGGAGCTCCACCGAAGGTCCCGGTGGGTGTGTCGGCATGCGTCCCGCACATTCATTTCGGCACACCCCTCACACGTTTCGTGGGCCCATAGGAGCTCCGCCGAAGGCCCCAGTGCTGCCGCCCACATGTTTCACCCACACCCATTTCGGCACACCTCTCACGCGTTTCGTGGCCCCATAGGGAGCTCCGCCGAAGGTCCCAGTGGGTGTGCCCGATGCGTCCCGCACACCCATTTCGGCATACCCTTCACACGTTTCGTGGCCCCATAGGGAGCTTCACCGAAGGCCCCAGTGGGTGTGCCCGCATGCGTCCCGCACACCCATTTCGGCACACCTCTCACGCGTTTCGTGACCCCTCACACGTTTCGTGGTCCCATAGGGAGCTCCACCGAAGGCCCCAGTGGGTGTGCCCGCATGCGTCCCGCACACCCATTTCGGCACACCCCTCACACGTTTCGTGGCCCCGTAAGGGGGCTCCACCGAAGGTCCCAGTGCTGCCGCCCGCATGCGTCCCGCACACCCATTTCGGCATACCCTTCACACGTTTCGTGGCCCCATAGGGAGCTCCTCCGAAGGCCCCAGTGGGTGTGCCCGCATGCGTCCCGCACATTCATTTCGGCACACCCCTCAGGCGTTTCGTGACCCCTCACATGTTTTGTGGTCCCATAGGGAGCTCCACCGAAGGCCCCAGTGGGTGTGCCTGCATGCGTCCCGCACACCAATTTCGGCACACCCCTCGTACGTGTCGTGGCCCCAAAGGGAGCTCCACCGAAGGTCCCAGCGGGTGTGCCCGCATGCGTCCCGCACAACCATTTCGGCACATCCCTCACACGTTTCGTGGGCCCATTCGTGGCCCCGTAGGGGGCTCCACCGAAGGTCCCAGCGGGTGTGCCCGCATGCGTCCCGCACACCCATTTCGGCACACCTCTCACACGTTTCGTGGGCCCATAGGGAGCTCCACCGAAGGTCTCAGTGGGTGTGCCCGCATGCGTCCCGCACACCCATTTCGGCACACCCCTCACACGTTTCGTGGCCCCATAGGGAGCGCCACCGAAGAAGATATTCACACTTGCGGTACTCATAATTGCATATGGTTGGGTCCTTCGCCAGGATAATTTGTTTTTTTGTTTGTTTCTCTAGCTTTCTTCAGTTTTATATCATTAGTTTGTGAGCCTCTTTATTCAACGCGCTTACTGAAGGTTTCTACCAGCAAGCACCACAAGACGATTCCGTTGGAAAGTTTACTGAGGGTTCCTATTGGAAAGCATCGCGATATTCTCCCTTTGGAGAGCACAGCACAGATATTCGATGGCCTCGCAACAGGAGTCCGCTTGGAATCATTACCAAGGGATTCCATGCGAAAGTCTCATAGTCGGAGTCATTTGGGAAGCACTGCTGAGGGTGTCTATTGGAACGCATCACAAAAAGGAATCTTTTGGAACTCGCCACCTAGTGATTCCATGGGGAAGCCTCACATCAGGAATCATGTGGAAAGCACCACAAAAGGGATTCTACGGGAAAGCCCCGCACTCGGAACTGTGTGCGACGTGCTACGCAGGGACTCCAGTGGATGGCTTCACAATCGGGTTCCTCAGGAATGTGCTACAAGCACATTCTGGTAGGCACAGTCATACTTTGACTCCTCTGGAAAGCGCTTCAGATGGACTCTGGGGGGAAAACCTCACAAGTGGCAGCCTGCGGAAAAGGAGTTCAAACAGTTGTATCGTAATGCCTCAAGCCAGAGATCCTTTGAACAGCACAGAAAAGGGTTCCATTGGAGCGCCCGCATCAGGAATCCTTCGGAGCACACCCCACATGGTTTCTATGGCCTCGCGATAGGAATCTGTTCGGAACCATTACAAAAAAGGGTTCTATTGGACAGCGTCATGAACGAAACCGTTTAGAAAGCACTGCGGAGGGTTCTTATTTGGAAACATCACAAGAGGAACCCTTTGGAAAGCACCAACAAGTATTCGATTGGAAAACCTCGCGCTTGGAACATTGCGCGAAGTGCAACACAGGGATTCCACTGTATGGCCTCAAAGCAGTGGTCCTTTGGAAAACGCTGCAAAACAACACGGGTTGTATTTGAAGCGATCGTACTTGGACTCGTTTGGAAAGCGCCCCAGAAGGATTCTGTGGTAACAAACAGCTGGTACCCCTTGGAACAGGAATCTAACAGGTTTAATCGGACGGCCTCGCAATTTTTTTTTGGGCAGCGCAGCAAATGGATTCGATCGGAGCGCCTCGCAACAGGAATCCTTTGGAAACCACCACACACAAAAGGGTTCTATGGGAAAGCCTCACGACAGGAATCCTTGGGATAGCAGCACGAAGGGCTTCTACGGGAAAACGTTACAACAGAAACCCAGTGGAAAAAACTTCGGCGGGATCTTATTGGAAAACGCCACAAATAATCCTTTGGAAAGCGCCACGCAGGGCTTCAATTGAATAGGAAGGCGCCACTAAGGGGTTCCTTCTGGAAGGCAGCACAACAAGGAATCCCCCGGAAAGCACCACATAGGGATTCCATTGGAAAGCCTCACGCCAGAAAACCTTTTTGAAAACACCACTGGGGGCTCCTAGTGGAAAGCCGGGCCAAAAGGAACCCATCGGAAATCACCACAGGGATTTAATTGGGAAGCCTCACGCCAGGACTCCTTTGGATAGGGCCGCAGGGGGATCCTGTTGGAAAGCCTGACGACAGGACTCCTTTGGAAAGCACCACGCAGATACTATAGTGGAAAGCCTCGCAACAAGGATCCTTGGAAAAGTACCACAAAGAGATTCTACGGGAATTCCTCATAGTGGGAATCCTTTGGAACGCGCCGCAAAGAGGTTCGACTGGAAAGCGTTACAGCAGGAATCCTTTGGAAAGCACTGCAAGGATATTGTTTCGGAAAGCATAACAAAAAAGGCATCCTTTGGAAAACATCATAAAGATATTCTATTGGAAAGTCTCACAGTCGGAATCCATTGGAAAGCACAACGCCATATTTTATTGCAAATTTTCACAGCAGGAATCCTTTATGTAGCACCACAGCGGCATTCGATGGAACACCATCACAATGGGAATCCTTGGGAAACCGCAGCAAAGGGGATCCGAATGGAAGCCCTCACAGCAATAATCCATTGGAAAGCGCCACAAACTGGGATTCTATGGGAAAGGCTCACAACGGGAATTCATTGGAAAACACCACGAAGGGTTTATATTGGAAAGCCTCACACTCGGAATCCATAGGAAAGCACCGCGTAATATCTTGTTGGAAAGCCTCACAGCAGGAATCCTTTCTCTAGCACCATCACGGCATTCGATTGGAAGCCATCACAATGGGAATCTTTTGGGAACCGCAACAAAGGGGATTTAAATGGAAGCCCTCACAGCAGGAAACACAGGGATCCATAGGAAAGCACCACAAAGGGTTTCTACTGAAAATCAGCACACTGGGAATCCATTGAAAAGCACCACAAGGGATGCTTCCCCCCAAAACAAAAAGAAATACATAACACATTAGCCTGGCGAAGGGCCCAACCATATGCAGTTGTGAGTGCCGCAGTTGTGGGTGTCGTTTTAGGTGGAGCAACCTATAGGCCACGAAGCGCTGTACTGGGTGGGGGAGGCGCATCTGGACACCGCCACTGCGACCTTAGATGGGGCTCCATATGGGGCCACGAAACGTTGTGCTGGATGGGCGGGGGTGGGGGGGACGCATGTGGACACCGCCACTGGGGCCTTAGGTGGAGCATGCTATGGGACCACGAAGCGCTGTGCTGGGTGGTGGTGGGGTGGGGGTGGGGTGGGTGGGTGGGGGGGACATGTGGACGCCGCTATTGGGGCCTTGGTGCAGCTCCATATGGAGCCACGAAGCGCTGTGCTGGATGGGGGAGGCGCATGTGCACACCGTCGCTGGGACCCTAGGTGGAGCACCCTATGGGGCCACGAAGCGCTGTGCTGGGTGGGGTATGGTGGTGGTGTGTGTGTGTGGTGGGGGGGGACGCATGTGGACACCGCCACTGTGGCCTTAGGTGGAGCTCCCTATGGAACCGCGAAGCGCTGTGCTCGGTGTGTGTGTGTGTGTGTGTGTGTGTGTGTGTGTGTGTGTGTGTGTGTGTGTGTGTGTGTGTGTGTGTGTGTGTGTGTGTGTGTGTGTGTGTGTGTGTGTGTGTGGGGGGGCGCATGTGGACACCGCCGCTGGGGCCTTAGGTGGAGCGCACCCTGTGGGGCCACGAAACCCTGTGCTGGGCTGGGGGGGGCCCACGTGGACAGCGCCACTGGGGCCTTAGATGAAGCTCCCACATGGAGCCACGAAGCGCTGTGCTGGGTGGGGGAGGCGCATGACGACACCGCCGCTGGGACCTTTAAGTGGGGCTTTCTAAGTGGCCACGCAACGCTGTGCTGGGGGGGTGGGGTGGGGAGACGCATGTGGGCATCGTCACTGGGGCCATATGTGGGGCATCCTATGGGGTCACGAAGCGCTGTGCTGGGTTGGGGAGACGCAGGTGGACACCGCCACTGGGACCTTAGGTGGAGCACCCTATGGGGCCACGGAATGCTGTGCTGGATTGGGGAGGCGGATGTGGACACAGCCACACGGATTTTAGGTGGAGCTCCCTGTGTGGCCGCGAAGCGCTGTGCTGGGTGGGGGGGGGGTGCATGTGGACACCGCCAGTGGGGCTTGAGGTGAAACCCCCGATGAGGCTATGCATCGCCGTGCTGTGTGGGGGAGGCGCATGTGGACACCACCACTGGGACCTTAGGTGGAGCTCCGCTCCCTACGTGGCCACGAAATGCTGTGCTGGGTGGGGGGGGCGCATGTGGACACCGTCGCTGGGACCTTAGGTGGAGCTCTCTATGTGGCCACGGAACGTTGAGGACACGCGCAGGACAGAGACAGGCATGCGCAGGGAGAGGAGGAAGGAAGGAGGGAGGGACGGCCCGCGGGGACCGTCTCTTCAAATCGAGGGCCCAACACCACAGGATGGTTGAGAACACCCAACAATTGTGGCGGGTCATCCATTTTCCAGGGGGGAGCAACAACACTTTGCTGCCCTGGGTGGAGGAGGAGGATGAGGAGGAGGATGCGGAGCAGGAGGAGGAGGATGAGGACGAGGAGGAGGAGGAAGAGGAGGAGGAGGGAAAGGAGGAAGATGAGGAGGATGAGGCGGAGGATGGGGAGGAGGAATAATATCAATACTACGATTACTAATAAGAATGAGACGAATAATCATACGAACAATAATGATAATGCTAATTCTAATAATCATAATGGTAATACGGCGAAGAATCACACTAATCGTAATACTACTAAGCATACTAATAATACTAATAAGAAGAAGGCACATGCTAATCCGATTAATAAGAAGACTGCTGCTGCTACTGCTACTACTGTTCTAATGATCGTAGTACTAATACTGCTACTACTACCAATACTAATACTAGTACTGCTAATACTATTATTGATAATGTTCACAACAACAATAACAACACTCACAATACTAACACTAGTAATACTCGTAATGCTAACACTAAGAAGAAGACTGATACGACGAATACTACGAATACGACTAATAATACACATAGTAATACTAACACTCAGAAGCATACTACTACTACTAAGAATAAGACTGCGAATACTATTAACACGAAGCATAAGAAGGCAACGCCTATTCTTATTCTTATTATTATTATGACGAATAATACTAAACACTAATAGTAATACGAAGACTACTAATAATACTGGTACAACGGATACGAATACGAATCCCAATGATACTAAGAAGAAGAAGAATAATAAGCATAGGACAACTAATACGAACCAGAAAACGAAGCATAAGCATACGAGTAATGCGAATACCAATAAACATCATACTACTACTTATGAGAAGAATAATACCAATAGTACTAGTAAGAATGCGAATGCTGCTAATACCACGAGTGCTAATACTAAGAGGAGGAAGAGGAGGAGGAGGAGGAGGAGGAGGAGGAGGAGGAGGAGGAGAGAGGAGGAGGAGGAGGAGGAGGAGGAGGAGGAGGAGGAGGAGAGGAGGAGGAGGAAGGAGGAGGTAGGAGGAGGAGGAGGGGGAGGAGGGGGAGGAGGACAAGATATGTGCGCTCGCGTCATATCTGACATCCTACCCCTCCCTCCCATCCCTTACCATGGCGCAGATCCCCTCTCTACTCGCACAGTCGGATGTCGAGCATGGCAATGATTCCGAAAGGGTACGCGATGCATTGTAGAGCACGGCACGGCATGGCGTAGAAGAGTACCGCAAAGCGTAGTATCAACCTAGCATTGCATTGCATGCCGTGGCATGGTACGGGAAATGACGCCAGCGCTGCAGCGGGAGCACGAGTCGAAACGAGCGGAACCGCGGAAATGATGCCAGCGCTGCAGCGGGAGCACGATTCGGAACGAGCGGAACCGCGGAAATGATGCCAGCGCTGCAGCGGGAGCACGATTCGGAACGAGCGGGGCCCGAAAATGAGGCCGGCGCCTCAGCGAGAGCAGCATTTTTGAAACAAATGCAGGCGAAAACCCAACTCTGGGGAAACCTGTGTGTAAAAAAACAGTACGCGGGGGGGGTCGGACACTCCCAGGCCGTCATCAGGGGAAGAAGGAGAGTAGTATTCATATTGAGTAATTGTGGAGGAGGAGGAGGAGGAAGAGGAGGAGGAGGAGGAGGAGGAGGAGGAGGAGGAGCAGGAGGAGGAGGAGGAGGAGGAGGACAAGGAGGAGGAGGAGGACGCGGAGGAGAAGGAGGAAGAGGAGGAGGATGAGGAGGAGGAGGAGGAGTGGAGGAGGAAATGAGGAAGAGGAAGGAGAGGAGGGTTTCGCGGAGCATGGGCAAGCGCGTTTGCGGTCTCAGTGTGAAAGCCTCGCGCGCGCGCCTTCGACCCCCTGTGACTTCACAGTCCCCGTTCTGTTCTCCCCCCCACCCCGTCCTTCTCCCCACCCCCTTCTTCTGCTGCTCCTCGTCCTCTTCCTTCTTCAAGTTGCCCGAGATGCCCTCGGAAGGCCAACGGCGGATACGGGCTTCAAGCTTCGAGGGAGCATATCATCGGTGTGGTTTCGGTGGGTCCACTCGGTTCTTGCCCCCCGTGACTCGATGTTCCTGGGGTCTGCACGATTGGGGTGAAGGTGGATGAGGGGGGGAGGGGCAGGAGGAGGAGGATGAGTAAAACGAGGAGGAGGGAACATGTTTTGAGGAGTTTAGGGCGCATTCGTATGGGGGTCTACAGGGGTCGCTTGACGCTTCCAGAATCGGGGGAAGGAGGGGCCAAGGACGGATGGTGAGCGGAACGGCAGTGGAAAGAGGACGAGAAGGAGGACCAGGAGGAAAAGGAGGACCAGTGTAAACCCAAGGCTTATTAACGATGTTGGCTCCCCCATAAGCTAGGGAACTGCCCCGTTGGGAGACAACCGTTTGAATTCCCTGGAGCGTGCCAGAACTCCATTCTCGGGGTGTCAATACCACGGGCCAATTTGACTGGTAATTCCTGGTGATCCTGAGTCGTGCCAGAAGGCCATCCCTGAGACTTCAACACCGCGAATCAGCGTAATTGATACTCCCTGATAATCCTGAATCCTTCCAACATGCAATTTTTGTACGGTGACCACGGGAGTCCGGTCAACTCTTGTAAGTGTCTGAGACGAATGTGCGCGGCGCTGAGGCGATCGCCGCATGTTGAAAACAGGCCGCCCTCAATCCGTGAAGCTCCTGCGCCTTTTTAGCACGAGTGTGCGCGGCGCTGAGGCGAGAGCCACGTTGTGAAAACGTCCCGCCCTCAATCCGTGAAGCTCTCTCAATTTTTAACACGAATGTGCGCGGCGCTGAGGCGAGAGTCACATTTCGAAAACGGCCCGTCCTCAATGCGTGGAGCTCCTGTGCAAGACGAATGTGCGCCGCGCTGAGGCGAGAGCCACATTTTGAAAACCATCGCCCGCAATCCGTGCAACTTTTTTCAACTTTTCATCGTCAGGGTCATAAGTGGTGAGGCAGTCTCAGGTGAAACGCCCAGCCCGCCCTTTCGACTGGCCTCGAGGTGCGACTGGGAACAATTAGTTATAAGGAAATGGAATGGAGGAGGAGGGGGAGGGGAAGGGGAAGGAGGAGGAGGATGAGGAGAAAGAGGAGGAGGAGGAGGAAGAGGATAAGGATTTTGAAGGAGAGGAACAGGAGGAGGAGGAGGAGGAGGAGGAGGAGGAGGAGGACGATGTGGAGGAGGAGGAGGAGGAGGAGGAGGATAAGAAGCATCCAGGATTTTTGTAGAACACTTTTTTGTTCCTTTGAATCCTCGCTCTTTCATCCCTCCCCACTACATGGGAAGAGCAGGAGGATGATTTTTTGCGGGCTTCACGTGTTTCCGGGGATTTGGGGTAGGAGGGCCAGGGAAGTTGAGGGGGAAAGGCAGAAGAGGAGGGGGGATGGTGAGGGAGAAAATGTTTGAATGTCCCTTTTCCCGTCCCTGGCCCGATAAAATTGAACCTTTCTCTTGGCACTCCAAGAAGGTTCGGGCACAGAAATGTTCAGGCTAAGTGCCCTCTCGATGCCCTCTTTGCCTTAGCTTCGAGCGTACATAATCGAGATCTGGCAATCCCCACGCACGTTCTGCAGCTCTTGCCTCCTGGACTCCCTGTATGTTGACTGCCTGCAGATTGACTCCTGGGCGCCCTTCCCTGTAGATTGACTGCCCGCTCTCACGCCTTCAGGCTGTCGCCCTTCCTCCACCTATCGATCTTCCAAGTTCGAGATTCGACGATCGATAGTTTGCGATTTTCTTTCGTCAGCCAGCTTGAACCCAAAGCAGTAGGCTACGGCACCCTCGGTGTGCAATTTAAGGGTCGCAAGCTGTGAGATGAATTCCAGTGCATAGTGCAACGTCTGTGTTGCTAGCTATGCTGTGACAGATCTGTGGTGCAAGCCATGCGATGCAAGCTACGTGATGCAACCTATGTGTTGCAAGCTGTGCGGTGCAGCTACGTGGTGCAAGCTGTGCGATGTGAGCAATGTGGTGCAACCGATGTGGTACGAGCTATGCGGTTCGCGCTATTTTGGGGCAGTATACATGTGCGGCTCCATTTTTCCCTCTGCCGCCCTGCCGCGGCCCTCCGCCAGCCTTCTTGCCGTGGGCGAGACGCGCCGAAGGCAAGGCCGTTTCTGGAACGCCTCAATTTTCATGTACGCATATATAAAGTATTAGTGTGTGTATCTACATGTGTGCATATATATATATATATATGGATACAGCAATTCAGGGGAACACCATGTGGTGCAAGCTATGTGGTGCAAGCTATGTGGGGCAGGCTCTGTGGTGCAACCTATGTGTTACAAGCTGTGTGGTGTAAGCCCCACTATGGAGCAATAGTGCCCAGAGCCAGGAACAGGGAGCCGGGAACTGGGAAGCGAGAACAGGGAGCCAGGAACCGAGAAACCCGAATTGGGAACCAGGAGCCAGGAACCGGGAACCGTGATCCAGGAACCGGGAACCTGGAGCTGGGAGCCAGGAGCCGGGAACCGGGAACTGGGAAACAGGAGCCCAGCCGGTGTTCGGGATTTGGGAAGCCGTGAGCGAGGGAGAACGAATGGGAGTGATATGTATCAATGTAAACATATGTATACACATGTATACACATGTACACATGTACAGACATAGAACGATATTAACAGAGAAAGTAAAGAACTTGAGAGACAGAGAGAGAGCGAGACATATCTGAATCTGGATCTGGAGTCACAGAGATCAACACATACTCAGTACGTATATATGTATGCACATGCACACGTATGAATTTACATTTATGCACTTATATTGTGGTGGAAAGGGAGGGAGGTAGATACATACAGAAAGCTAGGGATATGCAGAGATACTGACAGGGTAACACATGTGTATATCTACAGTGTTAGGCGCAACTACCTATATTTCTTTCAGTCGCCGTTGTGTAAACATTCACAAATATGTATACAGAGAAGTATGTATGCAATGTAACTCGACTCGCATACTCAAATGCGTACACTCATTACTTTCATGCGTATTCGCATAATGGCTAGATGTAGTGAGAGACAGAGAGGGATGCATCAATCAAACGTAAGTGCTTATATTTGACTACATAGATGTATGTGCATATGCATACAGACAAAAAGGGGGCATATAGAGGGAGAGAGAGAGAGAGAGAGACAGATAGAGAGAGAGACGGAGAGAGAGAGAGAGAGAGAGAGGGAGAGGGAGAGAGAGAGAGAGAGAGACAGAGATAGAGACCTTTATCTCTCTCCTTCTCTCTGTGTCTCTCTCTATCTCTTTTTTTTCCTATATGTATCTATCTCCATATTGATGTACCGAGACATCTATAAATGTGTGCATATACATGTATATGAACACGCAAATGTATACATACATACAAATGCACATATCCATGTACGTAGACGGGAACACATCTATGAACCGAGAGATCGGAGGACATGGGAAGACGTATGTAAGGAAAACGAGAGAGAGAGACAACGAAAGAGAGAGAGAGAGATAACCATATGTAAACAACATATATATACTACACAGTGAGACAGACATGGAGGTAGAGATAGGGTGGGAGTGAAATAGAGAAAGACAGAAAGAGAGGCAGGGAGAAGAGTGTTAGAGAGTGGGAGTGCGGCTTGTGAATATAATGTTTACTTGCACCATCTGTGTATGTATATGTAAATGTACAGATGAACATACATGTAGAGAGACAGGGAGATATCGGCACCAAACCAGTATACGTGCGTAGACATACTTCTAGAGAGAAAGACATCAATCTGTGCAACATGTGTACACATATAAAGAAGAAATGATTCGAATCAACGTTCTAGCTCGTCATGTGTTCATAGTTCATAGGTGTGTATACGTATCTGCGAAGAGTAGTATTCGAGGGAGAGAGAGAGAGTGAGAGAGAGAGAGAGAGAAACTATACACACACATATATATAGACAGAGAGAGAGAGAGAGAGAGAGAGAGAGAAGGGGAGGGAGATAGAGAGAAAGAGAGAGAGAGAGAGAGAGATATGGAGAGTGCGAGACCGAGAAACATAGTTGGTGCAGAACGCGAGAAACAGACACCCAGGAAACAATAACCTCGGCAATTGGCAAGCGGCAGCGGGCAACTGGCAACCAGCAAGAACCGGGAACCCGGAACGGGGAACCCGGGATCTGTCGGGGGCGGCAAAGAGGGGGTGATGACCAGGGGGGGGGTGGTATCATCGCGGGGCCATGATATCTCCCCAGATTTCATGGCGCCTCCTCTCATCTCAATACGTCCCCGGTCCCCCCCCCGAGGCCGCGCACACGCCGCCGGCAATGATTTGCGCCCCCCCTCTTGGACCCCCCCCTCTTGGACGCCCCCGAAACTGGGAGCTGGGAGTCCGGCGACCAAGAGGCCTTGCGGGGAAGCCCTGCGGGCGCCCCCGCTGGGCGCCCGCAGGGCGGGCGCCCGCTGGGCGCCCACGAGGCGGCAGCCTGCGGCCTCGGGCGGGCACCAGGCGGAGCCCTGGCAGACTCGCCCAGCGCATTGGGCGCCCACGAGGTGCCCGCGAGCAGCCACCAACTGGGTGCCTGGCGAGACCTCGGCACAGTTGCCCGTTCAAGTTCTAGAACCGAGGCACGACCCCTTAGCGCAAGCACTGGGAGGGGGGAAGATTAGGTTCAGGAGACCCTTGAACCGTGTGTACCCCACCTCAAACTTTCCTCGGTCCAGCCTCACTCGATTCATTTCTTTTCATCCTGGATGCCTTCTCTCCTTGGCTTCCTCGCAGTCTACAAAACCATACAGACACATTCCATACTCTTTTAGCTCCCTGCTCATATTCCCTGCCCTCGTCAATCACCTTTCCTTTTCGAATTACGCACTTGCCAGAATTTGGTTTACTCGTACGACATCCAATGGACATGGAGCCACACACGGTGGGCTTCACGCTGGGATAACTACTTGAAGATGACCGGTGGCCAAATTCATTGGTCAGCCACGTCTCCTTTCGCCAACTTTTGCTAGGACATTCTTCTCTCGTATCTATCGAGTCTCCCTGGCCATTTTCATTCATATGGTAATTTGTGGTCGAATGTGTGTTGCTTTCCTTGCACATTGCGAATCTCCGTATACAAGTGTATATACACATATATGGACGTATGTATGTGTGTGCGTGTGTATTTGCGGACACGCATATTTCGAAACATTGTTAGCCAGCGTGGATCACAGACATATTTTTCTATCAATATAGGTTGCGAAATACATGCGGAGCACTGTATGTTGTGCAATCGATGAGATGCATTCTTT